AAAAAAAAAAAAACCCAAAACAAAAAACAGCTCAGGCTTGAGGAAGATTTGTAACTAAACCACATAAACAAGACATTTGTACAATCCACTGCAGAGACAAAAATATGCTTAAGATATCACTTAGTTGTAGCTTTAAAGTGTTCGTCAGTTTAACCTCTGGCCAGGACTTATTTGTTTTTGTTGTCGCATCCAACAGAACTTCCACTGTCACTACCCAGGATTTACTGTTGTCCAGCTTTACTGTCTCGTGGTTTATCTGGCTCCTCGCTGACTGTAATCAGTGCAGCTTCGAGGCCGGAAGAGAGGAAACAAACGTCTAAGGCGTCAGCCCGTCAAACACTGGTGATAAGAGGACGCCGTGTGCCAAGCCCACTGCCCACGGGGTGCTGAGCGACTTACTGGAAAAAACCAAAGTCAGAGCTCCTTTCCCGTCTTCTCCGCTCCCCAGGACAAAGCTCTGCAAGTGCAGGGGTTACCTTGGATGCCGATGAACCAAAACATAAGCTCAGTCTCTGTTGAGAACATCACTGGGTCACAGGAAATGCTGTGAGAGTATACACGGCGTGGACGGGTCCTGAACACGAGCAAGACGGCACCGGAGAGGCCCACAGACAAGTGCAGAGCACCGGGCTCCCCCTGCCCAGAGCCTGGCTCTGGGCAGGGGCCTGGGAACCTGCCCTGTGACAAACCACCTCCGGTGGTTCTCTCCTGGCTGGTCTCCCTTGGAGAAAGACCAGCCTGGTGCAAGACCCCCGGGCAGTGCTGACAGGAGCAGGGCACGCACAAACAGAGCTAGACCCGGAGACATGGACGGGACACCTGCCCGGCGACCGCAGAACATACGTTCCTGCCGAGCACACACGCTAGCGCTCCCGTCAGAGGGGAAGACACACGGAACTGACAGCGCACACACGTGGGCACATGCACGCATTGCACAGTCCTAGCGGTAAGGAGGCCCCGCAGCGGCGGACTCACCAGAGGGACCCAGTGGCTGGAGATTCAGGGCGTAGCGGGGAGACCTGCCCCCACAGACCCTTGGCCTTTTGAATTTTGAGCCACACGACAGCATCGGCTATTCAAAAAGACTGCGTGTTTCTTAAAGCTGCCAAGTCTATCTGGACCTATTTCCTCAGCAGCCACGATCACTCCCCCCCCCCCGAGCCCCTTCATTCCGAGTGGAATGTGGAGTTGAAGACGACACAGATCCGGACGCTGGCCGCCCGGCTGCGTTCCTGCCACACCACCGGGCCCCGGACGTATTTACGGTCCGCGCACTTTCCCACAGATACGAACCACCTCAATAAAACGCTAAAAATAAAACGAAGAGGTTGCTTGGGTCTATTTTCTTCTCGTTCCCTCACATTAACAGAGTCCTATCGTGTTTCATGTATTTGCCCAAAAAGAAATGACTGTTTCAGATTCTTCAGTAATGTTTCTGAAAAACGATCCCTCCACCCTGAGTTACAAGGGCGACCCTGGGTGGCGAGGGGGCCCCTCCCCCACCCCACCCGCCGCGTCCTCCCTGGGCTTGTTGCGGCGGGGGGACACAGCCTCTCACGGGCCACTCTCTGCCCCCAGCCAGGAGGAGCTGTCAGTGAGCCTCAAAGCACCCCTAAAAACCGGCCTTACGGTTTGCTCTAGGGCATCCACAGGTTTTTTTGTCATGAAAATGAAGTCTCTGACGCCACTTAGAGAAAATGCCAAGGTCGTCAAAGACGGAGGAAGAGGCTGTGCCAGCGTGAGGCGGCTCAGGAGACGCCCACTGCAGTCCCGGCCGGATCGGCCTGCGAGCAGGGGAGGCTGCTCCGTGGGGCCCTGCTGGGGCGATGGGTAAAGCACCAGGTACACAGCGGGCTCAAGTACCCACGTTCCATGTTCCATGTGCTTATGCGGTGGTTACATAAAAGATTTCCCCGCTCTTAGTCAAAACACATTGACATTATGTCAAGTCAAGGGCCACCATGTAAGTTCCTCCTAAAAGGTGGGAGGAGGGTGGTCTTTGTCCCCCTCACCGGGGTGGGGTGGGGGGCGGGGGGAGATACGCAGGAAACCCAGCCAGTGACAGTGTAAATGGAAGGACACATTAGCGGGGTAATCTGGGCGTAGGGTGTGTGGGGTATTCTCGGTACCGCTCTTTTTATCCTTTCTGTAACGTTTCTGTTTGAAATGACAACTGTTTCCAAAGAAAGTTTTTAAAAGCCGTGTGTTCATCAATAACCACATGACACCATCAGAACCAGCTTGGCAACGAACGAGGATTTTGATGATGGCAGTGCCTCTCGTCACGAACCATCTTAATTTTATGGAAGTGTAATCCCAAGACATTATTGCAACTTGCAAAAAAAAAAATTGCACCTTCTAGCTAGGTTTATGAAAGAGCTAAATAAGCACCTTCCAAGACCCAAAGCTTAACATAATTGCCTTCAACATAAAACTCCACCTCGATAATTTCTCATAATGTGCATCTTAATGGAGGAAGTAGATTTCGGGAAGTTTTAAATAAAAGTTCCTCATTCATGTGCGAGATTAGTCCTGCCTTGCCTGGTGAACATAATGAAAAATCCTAATAATGACTGAAGTTAGAAGTGCTTAAAAAAATCCCTGCTAAGAAAGAAGTCAAAGGTCTCGTAGAATGGAAAATGTCCCAGCAGACAGAATTCTTCAAGATGATAATGATGACGAACTACGTGTGAAAAGTCAAACTTTTCAGAGAAAAACGGGAAAATTCCTGTGACCCAAGAAAGGGAAAGATTTCTTTCTTTTTTTTTTTAAGATTTATTTATTTTTAGAGAGGGAAGGGAGGGAGAGAGAGAGAGAGAGAAACATCAATGTGTGGTTGCTGGGGGCCATGGCCTGCAACCCAGGCATGTGCCCTGGCTGGGAATTGAACCTGTGACACTTCAGCTCGCAGCCTGCGCTCAATCCCCTGAGCTACGCCAGCCAGGGCTGGGAAAGATTTCTTAACGAGACACAAGAAGCACAAACTCTCCTGGAAAAGAACGATGAGTTGGACAACACGTCAGTTTGCCGTCTGCGCGTGATAAAAACCCCACAACCGCCGTGAGAAGACAAGCCCGGTTCCCGGGAGAAGATGCAGAGGCCACCGGGTACCACCCCATGGAGAGCCAGCCCAGCACCCGGAGAAGCCCCGCTGCCTCCAGGCCCTGGAAGACCCGGACAGAGGCAGGGACACCATGGGAGCCAACTGCCCACACTCGTGGGACCCCCTCGGTGGGGATGGGGCGCTGACCAGGCAGGGCAGGGGGCTTCCGGCCCCACCAGGGCCCTTCAGGCAAAAAGGCCCTTTCCCCGATGCAGCAGCAGTCGGAGAGGCGGCTCCAAGTCTGAGAGACAGGATGATGGAATGTTTGGGCGGTGACCTCACAGGGAGAAGGAGACAGCCTGGAAACCGTCTCTCGAGCCCTGCGGCCCCGGGACACCTTTACAACTGTGCCGGCGTTCGCACGGGGTCACAGTTCTCGATGAACTCGAGGTCCTGGCCCTCCTGGTGCCTGTCCCGCCCAGTGTAAGATATAGCAGCGAGGCAATCCCAAGGCACATGGCTTCTCACGTCCTCTGTCAAAGGCAGGCCAGTCCTCCCCAAGTCCAGCAGGAAGGCCAGCTTTCTCAGAGACCAGGGGCAGCAGCAGGCGTTCCAAAGTATACAAGGCGTTACGTACTTTAGCCGTAATGAAACGTGTTAAGGTTATGCCAACTTCATTAAGGATGGGGAGGTGCCCAAGGGCTGCCAGCTGCACTCTGCTGAAAAGTGCACATGGTGCCCCGACAGCCTGCCCTGCTGCGAATGTCTGTGACGGCAGAGACCGCCCTCCCCCCGCCCGGGGCCAGGTCCAGTGAGCCCTCTATCAACCATGCGGCGGGAGGGGGCGGGCGCACAGAGATTAGAGGGTGCACTCCACTCACATTTGCGATTTAAAATGTGTCTTTTATAATTAGAAACTACACGAAGACTACTTCCTGTGCACTTGAAAATGTCCACTTCCCTAAAAGTTCAGAAGAAAGAAACAGAGCGATGCGGAGACATCTCAAAGCAAGTCTGGGGGGAAGACAAGAACGGGCAAGAACACAGTCTCTCCACGCGAAGTGCTTTGGAAAAATTAAGGCCGAAGAAGAAAAGCTAACAACTTGTATCAGAAAGTGTGTTGCTTTTTCTTGGACAAAACGCCCAGCAATTCCCTCTGTCCCTGACAACTATCAGTTTACCCCTCCAAACACAGCACAACCTAAGCCGTTTTTCCACGCTGACTAATGTCAGATCCTGGGACCACAGGCAAGGAGCTGTGTGTCTTCGCCAACAAAAACAGAGAAGGCAAAGCGAACTCAGATTCCCTAGCACGACTAAAGAAAAAAAAGCATCTGCAAGGACATTTGCTTCAAACGCCGCGTCTCTGTGTCAAGGTGACTCCGTCTTCGCCTGCCACCCAGTCCGACAGGAGCAACGAACTATACGCCACAGGCCTCCAGATTACCACCACTGTCCGAATGGCCAACGTTTACAATAAAACATGGAGACCCATGCTCTTGGCTTTCCACATCATTACTCATTTCATGAACTTGAACCTCGGAGGCTTCTAAGCTGTGTGGGTCAACACGACCAGAGAACAGCTGGTCTTTGGGGGGACAGAGCCAGGGCAGGCACCCCCCCCCAACACACAGCTGCAATTCCATCTGCGGACTCAGCAGAAGTGACCGGACGGATCTTCCGGATCGTCGGGAAAACAGCCCAGCTGTGCAGCAAAACAGCTTTTCCTTGGGGCCCCCAAATGCCACCCGTTTCTAAACTAGGGAATTGGGACAAATGTACAGAAGGGTATGCTCTAAAAACCAAGAGAAATGGTTAACCGGAGGGAATTCCAGTTCCTAAAAAAAAAAACACGAAGGTCAAGAGGTGAAGGAACGCCCGAGGACAGGATCGCCCGTGTCCCGTGAGCCAGGCTCGGAGCCAGGGCAACCCCGACGGACCGGTGTCGCGCTCTTACCTCGTAGGACCAGACGCACTGCACCCCCGCGAACCTGCGGACGCACCTGCCCACCTCGACGTCCTCGTGGGTGGTGTACATCTCCCGCAGGCACTCGCCGATGTGCGGGACCATCCTGCGGAGCACCTCGCGGCTCATGATCACGCCGGGCCCGCCCATGCAGAAGTTCTCCCCGGGCTCCAGGGCCAGCTTGCCCATCTCCTCCGTGGTGCCCAGGCCCGTCTGCCCCAGAAACAGGGGCTCGCTGCTGTTCAGGCTCCTCAGGAAATTCTCCAGCCGGTCCCCCTTGATGTACACGTCGTCGTCCGCCCTCATGAACCATTCGTACTTGTCCAGATAGTGGTCGTGCATGTACTTGAGCATCATGAAGGACTTCTTCTGCGGCGGGTAGGAGTCGTCCACGCCCCGCAGCGGCACCACCGGGATGGGGATGGACGTGTCGGAGCCCTCGCTGGAGAAGAACTCCACTTTCCCGGGGATGGTCTTGGACCACGTTCTGGAACGGAAACAGACAGCAGTGAGAGGGCCGTGCGGGCCGAGCCCCTCGCTTCCAGGAACTCGCGGCTCTGCTCCTGGTGACTCGCCGAGCACTGCAAAGGCACCTGATAAGGAGCTGCTGGCGCGGCTCGCTTCCCCTGGACGGAAGCCCCCGCGCCACGGGATATCCCACAGCCCGCGCTGGCTTTGAAAAGAACCCCAGCCCAGAAGAACAGCGAGGTGCTCCAGCGGTGCCAGGGGAAGCCAAGTTTCGGCTGCGGCTGAAAACCAAGTCGCCAGGCCGCCGAGGTCTAAATATTCACAGCCACGGCTCGCTCCCCAGCCACACACTCCCCCACTCTAGACAACAATAAAACAAACCATTCATTCCACACACTTTCTTTGAACGCTCGCCCCGCACCAAGTGTGCTGGGCCAGAGAGAGGCCGTGGGACCCACGAGCCAACGGGAGGACAGACAGACACTCACTGAACAGCACATCCATCGTGGATGGATGTATGCACTGCTGTCCTCGGAGACCTGGCTCTGAAGGAAAGGCTCGCGGTGCCCAGAGGCATGAAAACCAAGAGCCTAGACTGGACCCACAGACCCAGAGGGCGGGGCAAACTGCAAGGCCTGCCAGAGGCCCCGCCCCCGAGACAGGGGTCTTCCCGCTTTAAAGCAGAAGGGAGAGGAAGGACTAGGTGTCTGCACCTCCAGGGCGGGGGCTGCAGGCAGGAGGAGACCCAGGGGCAGGAGGAGAGTTCCCCCGGGGAGCTGCCTGCCCCACAGACGGAGTAAACACTGCCAATGGGTTAGAAGGCGACAGTCCTGCTGAGGCACCATGGACAGAAGGCCGCCGGGTCCCGTTTCTCCTTCCCCTTCCTTCACGCTGCGCACGAAGAGCTGAAATGGTCCAGCTACAGACACGCATTTACAGAGACGACTTCTAGGAAAAGCATCTCATGCAGGATGAGTCAATCAGTAAATTTAGCCTCAGCGCGATCAGAAAAGCACAGCTCCCAGACAATGCCCTGACGACTGGATTTATGACGGTGACGAGTGACGTGCAGGGTCAAGGCCACACGCGTCTCTCGGGGGAGGTCTGAGAAGAGGATGTCTGAAAACATGCACCCCATCCCTGGGGAATGAATACGCAATGGGGGGTGGGGAGGATCAGGGGAGAGGTGACTTCCACTTTTTATTCTGTCTGTGTCTATAGTGAGTACGACTGTCACAAGCTCACAACTTCCTGGAAGAACAATGAATTGTGATAAAACAGAAAACTTGAAGGTCACCACTTTAACTGTTTTCTTAAGTGTCAAGTTCAGTGGCATTCAGAACATTCCTGTTATTGTGCAACCGTCGCCGTCATCCATTCTCCAGAAGTTCCTTCATCTTGCAAAACTGAATCTCTAAAGCATACATACGACTTTTGTAACTTTTAAAACAATCTACAATGAAGGAAGCTATCACTGGCTTTTAATTCTCCTCCTAACCCCAATACAAAGAATATAAAATGACTTCATACTTGTTGCATTCAAGCAGAGGGGGAAAATCCACTGGCCTGAACTTTCTGTCAAGCACGTGTCTCAAAGTGTCCAAGAATTGACTATATATCTATATCTATATCTATATCTATATCTATATATATATCTTATTTTCCGTCAAATCTAGGGTGCCCGTGGTAAGATGCACCACCGTTTTATGTACCAGTAGCAACTGCCAGTCACAACCACACAATGCCAGCATCTGAGACAGGCACCCAGAGCTCACAGATGTTAAAGTGTGGAAAAAAAAAAAAAGCGTGTCTCAGAACGGATGTGATACAGTAGGTGTGATGTTTCCCCTTGACGCCGATGGGTTTTAACTGTGGCCGTACGTCACCTGTGGGGCATTGTAACAGAGAACCCGGCCCACACAGAGCCCCGTGGGACGGCAGACGATGGTGCAGCGGCAGGCTCTGCATTTTCACAGAGACTTTGCCCCTGGAAATAAAGGGAGTGAGATCACCCCAGAAGGACGGGTAACTGATGGAAAGAGAAGCCAAGCCGTCCCATCCAGAGAGAAGCCCATTCAACAGTGAGAATGAGTCCTTCCTCAGAGTGGCCGGAGGTGCCCTCTGAACACGGTTCACTAGTCCCTGAACCCAGACGCCCTTACCAACTTATGCAAATCCAGAGGTTTGAACCTTTGTGTTCACTAAAGAACACAGGGGACATGGCCCAGGCCGTCCAGAGCATGCACATCAGAAAAGCCACCAAGTGCTGAAGGATGTCACTTGACGGAAGCAATGCGTGCCCTCCCGTCGTTGAGGTGGTGGGGCTGGCGGCTGTGCCTGGGCCAGACCGCAGGGCTGGATGCAGGGGCAATGGCCCAAAAACAATGCTGAATTTTTGCTGCGTGTGCTTACAAACGCAGAGAATAACGCTGAACTTAAGGGTCTTAGATTCTCCGGTCCTGGAGCCCATCCCGGTGAGCAAAGCTCCCGAGAGGTGGTGCAGAACCCACGGAGCTTGCGGGTGGACTGACCCACACACGGGAGCTCTCCCAGCCCGCCTGAGGGGACCCTACTGAGAAAGGGCAGCTTGTTCCTAGCCCAGAAGAAACAGACACCCCAGACGGAACCCAGGAAACAAAAACGGACGGCCCGGGAGTGAGTTCAGCATAAAATACACACTGATAAAAGTAAAAGCAGGAAAAAAAAAACGAGAACGAACCACAACCTACCCAGAAAGGACGAGAAACTAGACACAGTCTTGTGATGTGGTCGCATGGGGAGGAAAAGGCAACTTCCCCGCCTGAGGAAGGCAGCGGTGACAAGAAGTGCTGAGGAGACAGCCGTCCCAGTCGAGGAGCCCCTGACCCTCTGCCCTTCGTGTACAAACGATTTCCGTGGGGCAGCCACAACGCTTTGCAAACGTAAGCAATTTCAGAGCTCGGCATGTCGGAGAGGTCAGCAGACACCGCCCCCCCCCCGCCCCACACGGGATCCGTGACCTAAAGACGGTGCGTGTGCATCTGTGCGCATACTCGGGCAGATGGCTTCCGTCTCTCCCTCCGAGACATTTCCAGGTGAGCATCTCGTCCCTTCCCATGAGCCACACGAACCTTTCCTGCCTTTCCCCCGTGAAGAAGTAAATCCGCTTAATCACACCGCAAGCAGAAAACAGGTAAGGTTCACAGGTGCGCTGGAGTTGAAATACACTACCATTTGTGGGACTCGTGAAATACGGTGTCATGATAAACCTGCATTACCTTACAATGGATTTTAAAAGGGCAGTCAACAAAGTCAACTTAACTTCAGGGTCCACCTGACTGCTTCTGAACTAACACGTGTGACTTATGAGACAGACCAAGTTCAAAGTGGCACTGAAGCAGCCAACCCCCAAAGGCATTAACGCACCACAGCACCGTGGTGTCATCCGGGGTTGGGGCAGGTGAGAAAACGCCGGCCTTGGAAGGGACGGCCCACCTCAGAGCCGATCACCCCGGTGCAGCAGTGCAGAGCACGAGTGTGGAATCGGGCGGCTGGTTTCACTTTGGGAAACGTACTCCGTGCCTCCCTTTTCTCCTCTGTACCCTGGGGACAGTCACAGTCCCTGCCTCACGGGGCTGCGAGGGGTACACGCTGAGGAGTCACTGGGGCGTGCAGTGAGCGTCACAGAGGTGTGACTCGCCAGCAAACAAAATAACAGAGAGAAATAAAAAGTGAAGGAGACAGGACAGGGTGGGCCGACTGTGAACCGGCCGGCGTCCGGCGAAGGGGCGAGGAAAATGCCTCTTCTCACACTTCTGCCCCAACACCCGACCCCCCGGCTACATGTTAGAACCCTGTGTTACTGTCGACCTCAGCCAGTGTCAGGGCCAAAGCCGAACAGCAGGATTCTTCGCGTGAGAGCGAGGGTCAGAACTCACGTCCGTCTGGCCCTGCTCCCGCGTGCCCCACGGGACAGAACAGAGGCACGGGAGCACCCTGGGTGCTGGCACAGCTAAGGACGGACCTATGGCTTTAAATGACATCACTGTCCACGCAGAGAAACCAATTAATTTCAGAAGCAGACGATCTGACCTCAAACCATCCTTAAAAACCTCCCTGCAGTTTTATGGTGAACTCCACCCAATTTTCTTTTCCTTTTTAGGGAACCCAGGGGGAAGAAAAAAAAAAACCTCTTGTTGCCCTTTTCTGTTCTTAAATGACTGGTGGTTTGAGGGAAATCTCTCAGGATGACGTCTTCAGGAATCCTCCCATCGGAAGAAATTAGGGTGTTTCCACGGAGGGTGCCCGCCGTTGAGGGGGTTCCAGAGAGTCAGGGCGCTCTGAACGTCAAGCGTGACTCACCTGCCCCGGCGGGGGGGGGGGGGGGGAGGGACACGCGTGTGAAAGAAATGAAGGGAACGTGCAGACCCTCCTGGGGCAGACACGGGCCAGCCCCTCGGTTTTCACAAGCAAACGCCACCCTTGTCATCCATGCACCAGTCGCCGGGGACAACGTGCCCTCCCGTCGCTGGAACCGAGGGACGCTGGCAAAGGCCCCTGCCAGAGAGCTCGGTTTCCGGCGGCCTGATAATCAGCCCCGGCCAGAGCACAGATAAGATGACGGAAACCTGAGCGTGCCAAGCAGCCTTCCGTGCTTGCGGCCAGGCTTCTAAACGCTCTCCCGATACGGGGCGCAATCGCAGCGTGGCACTGCGGCCGGCGGGCGGCAGCGTCGCCCAGGAAGGCCCTCGCCCAGCGAGCACCCGAGGACGGTCTCCACGCCTGCTCAGGGTCGTCGTCGGAAAAACACGCCACGTGCGTTTCTGACCACACGGACCTGCGGCCTGACTGTTGGGACACGCTCGTCACAAGCGGGTGAGTTTACAGGGCGGACGGCAGCGCTGGCCTGGGGTGTGGATGACGAAAGGGACGAAAGTTACACACAGAAAATGAAATAACGTATCGCGTGCAGCTCCGCCCCGAACTGTTCACGCTGGCTACTTTTGCATGAAGGACCGGGAAGCACTTCATTTTCTTCTT